TGACAAAAGACAAAGCGCTACAGTACAACTTCATCTCAGGAAGCGATAAGAAAAAATAAAGGTTTAGTCTGCTCCCAATGGGAGCTCCCTCTTTAAAGACTTTACGAGATTCATAGATGCCATACGACAAGTGTAGCTTCTCCTACAGCAGGGGAGTTGACTGTGTTTTTCGGGTTGTCATGAACTAGGATTCTACCCAGTACATTTGAGTTTCTCTTGCTTAGTAAGAGGCGCAAAAATCATTGCACTATGCCTACGATCGCTTTGGTACGCAGCGTCAATTTACGTTAAAGCAGGGCTTGTTTCAGAACGGGTTGTTCAAGATATTCAGTCAGATTGCTTGTTGATCTGGAGTGCGCAGATCGTACTGTCCTAAACTTTAGTACGGGAAACAGGCTTCCTCGTCTGAAGGCTGTCTATGCAGCAGAAGGGCGAACTGTGTCCTCGTCCTTCATGCCCAGAAGTAAAAATATTATGAAGGTTTTTAAGTCAAGTCTGGCCAGTGTCGTTGTACCATATGAAACCTATGGTTTTAAAGTATGACTAAGAATAGTGGTTGAATAACTTTGATTTCGATGGATAATGATAATTTGCTGTCACGGCTACGTTACGAATAACACAATTCTTTCAGAGAATCGACTAGTTCTACACATAAAAAAGGAGATGGGTCCTGTTCGATATTCTGAGTGGACACAAAACCCTGTGTTCCAACCTACGACCTTTTCATGTAAAAGTCAAAAAACGGTTGATGTCATCTAAAAAGTTAGCGAGGAACATGGATGAAAAAGATTAACGGAGAGATGCGTAAGGACAGAGGTTTATCAGCAAGCGATAAAATCTAGTAGTTAAACTAAAAATTAAACATTGAAACATTTTTCGTCTAGTCTTTAGAAGATATGCAAAAATATTAACGCGTTGTAATGCGCGAGATTTTCCATATTGTTACTTAATTTCCTTTTTATATTGCTTATACATATTTCATTCTTACGCATGCAAACTTTTTATTGATTTGTCTAATTTCTTTATTTCTCTACCTGATTCGCGTTTCCAACACAGTTTTTTTCAATTTTATGGAAGAATTGTGCCGTGGTTGTAGATTCTTGATTGAGGGCGCCAAACATTACAAATGTCAACGTCGTGAGAGTACAACTGCTTACCATATCTGAAACACGTCTGCATTTTTGTTGCCCTCGATCATGGATTGCCAAACCGTTTGAACATTCAGCAACGGGGTTGCAATCGAAAATGCTATGTCATGTTTAATATCACAACGTTCAAGCGGAATTTCTTAGCAACTGCATATTCGTTACCATATCGGTAACGAATTTTTAAATCGTTGATCTTC